TGAAGTTATTGGTTACTTTTGTAGTAGTCGGACACCAAACCCACAGGGTTGCGTAAGGGCACGGACAGTGGGAAATTTTGTTTTACGGACTAGGTTCCCTAGTTGTGGAGCCAGATTTTGTGTTCTCCGTATTGAAGGGGGACTAATGTCTTCGGAAATAGGGAGGAGGTGCTACTTTTAGGGTGAATGCTCGTGAACAGTACTGTGTATGGGGCCTAGACAGGCAGCGCTAGCCACAATTCTGATGAACAGATTGTCTGACGGCATGCATGTCCAACAGTTCAGTCTCCGTTTCGTCAGTTGCCGCTCAGTATGACACGTGTTGAGCTCCTTCCAACGGCAGTTTTACCTAGGTATATTTTATGCGGTGGTTAAAATAAGAGACATTTCATTATGCGTTGGTAATGGATGTGATCCATAAAACCAATGAGTTTTCTGGGGATTCGGCTTGCAATTAATTCCACATATTGAGTCTAAACGAGATCGAAAAAATGAAGGAGGGAGCAGATGGATGACCGAGGGATGTGGGGGTTAGACGGTGAAGAAAACAATGAGTAGATGAGACTATGTAGCTGAGTCAGCCGGGGAGCAGACATACATATGCGTAAGTTCGTTTTTTAGGATGGTCATCATACATGTGGTTCATATGTCAACAGATCTTCAGTACAGCGATAACACCCGACCCAAAGAAGCTGTTGTTTTCTAGATCACTTGAGAAAAATAAGCGTAGTCGAGGTGGGTTGGTTGTTGGTCTTTTCGCTGAGTTGAGTTGGATTGCACAACACTGTATTACATTACGATTCACAACATTGCTAAAAGTTCGTTAGTTATTTGGATCAGATAAAAGGACACGTTTGTGGATGGGAACCACTTTAGTGAAAATGAGGGGAAGTCGGGAGTCACGAGTTATGGGTGAGACAATATCTAAGTCACATGTACGGGACAAAATATCAGGACACTGTTCGCATCGCAAGGTTTAAAGACATTTGGTTTAACGATCGTCACTAATAAAATGGTGAGTAATGAAAAATTTATGAAGCTGCTAGATCGACTGAGAGAATCGGTCCAACCTGAGACGAACACTTGGATAAATTTTTTGACCTTTCCCCGCGGGAGAGTTGAAAACTCCAGTAGAGTCAGGAAGGAAAGGACGGGAGAGAGAGAAATAAGCTCCGACTGATTTCTCCGCAAGACACCAGAACCACCGACTCCCGATAGCTTTAATAGACAAAGTTTCTTGTGACGGGTAAACTTATCATTGTCGATGGTGTCGGTACGGAAATTACAAGCAGCGGCAGCAGCAGCATATTCCGAGCGATATGAACAATTTCTTCATTTCTTCTTTTTCTTCTACCCTAAGACTTAGGTAGCGCTAGAAGGGAGAATTTTCCGGGTCTATAAAAGTGGTGCACTCCGCCATTAAAGGCACTTCTGAAGTTCTCAGTGCAAATCGTAGGATCGTTGGGCGTTCAGCAGTCCCCGGGTGAGGAGCCAAAGAACTGTCCTGTGCCGCCCCAACCGGCAGACTAGTAGCACCAAGACTCCGCTAAGGGAGATTATCGTTGATACTGAAAAGTTGATTGTATTGGGTACTACTAGCGATCAGAAAACCTTGTTGTGGAGGAGTCAACCGAGTATGTTGACGCAGTGAGACGAAGTTCAGGATCTTTGGTATGCTACCGTCACGCTGCGGAACTTGGTTAGGAAGTGGGGAATAGAGTTGGTGATCGCAAAACATTGAGCTTCACGGTCAGCTGTATCGTTTACAATGAGAAGGTTAGACGTTCCGTTGTGGACAATGAAAGCTCTTGGGATACCAGGTTCATCGGTGGGGTTGTATTGTGGCCTGCGTTCGCAGTTGACGTTTAATAGGGACTGTATTTCGTTAATGTGCTGCCATTATCTTGCTGAGTCATGCGTCACAGGCTTGACAGAGTAACATGCTAACAATCGGTGACAGCCAGATATAGGGTTGAAATCAACAAGGGGTCAATGCGCATAACTCCTCCATCTATAGTTGCTGTCACTTGACCTTTGAGAACAATGACTAGCCCAGCTTTTTTATCGACATTTCAAACGATTTCGACTGACCTTTTCAGACAGTTGCCAACGTTCGCAGCCGGTCGGTTGCTCGCCGGATGAAAAGAGTTCTGGGCTTCAATATGTGTGCCAGCCTTCAAACAGCGACTTGATTTTCAGAGCAGCTCAAAGCGGCATTATAGTCATCACAGACGGAGACGTCAGCGCTTACACTGATGCTTTGCTGCAGTACAACCGCGAAGTTTATTCGATTGTATTTAAAGCCTTGGAATTAAAAGAAGAGAATAGTTTGGGTGAGGGAGGGGACCTAGTGCTGGCCTATCACAAGCATTCTGCAGTGCCTAAACCTCCAAGCGTTCGGTCAGACAATCTGGAAAGAAACTGACTACACGAACTCCACTGACATCGACCAGCCGCCATTTCCTGCAGCGTCTCCAGTCAAGCACAGGTTGGGTCACGTGGACTCCGCCCTCGAATGCGTCCAACACCAGCAACACCCAAACTCCTCGTGATCTCTTTCATGCCTTGCTGCCGAATCCTACGCTGTTCTTCTCGCGGCTTGCGCCATCCTGAAGAAGGTACGGTGAACAACACTGGTTTCGGTAGGCCGTGTTTCGGCATGCGTGGAACATGGCCAAGCCGTCGTAGTCAATGGTGCTTGATGTTTTGTGCGATTGAAGTACCTGCTTCATAACCAAATATTCGTTTCCGAATCACCTCATTACTAATATGTTTACGTCATCCGAAACCAGCAACCATTCTGAGGCGTCGGTGGTCGAAAACCCGAAGATGCTTCGCATCTGTGTGCACAGAGACCACATCTTGTAGCCATACGAAACCACAGCCTGGTACACGCGATCCTTAAGATCTAATGATATACATTTTTGACGCCACAAGTGAAGTAAATTAGCAAAAGTGATCCTGGCTCCGAGTGGCGTCGATACCCAGACCAAATGGACTTTTGGTCCGTTGGGAATGTTCTACATATTCCCCTCATTTTCATGACCACAAGTGATACGAACGACTAGGAGTGCAAATCCACCTGGACAATGAGCCATAGGAAAGTTTCTAGGTAGTTTAAGCCTAGGTAGACCTGCGTGAGTTAATGTTGGGCGTCTCCATTAATTAACAAAATTCTGGAGGACGACCCTTCCGCGAACGAACGACCCACTACTAACAGATACTGATTTGTGGTTTCCTACAGGAAACGCCGAACGAAGAAGTCATCAACCGGATGGCGAAGTTCAGCGTTTTATAAGCTTGTCTTTTTCAAGGAAAACCATGTATATGTTAACAGTACTAGAACAATGATACTTAATGAAGATCGCCGGTTTGATTGTAATGAATTCAGCTGTGAATTCCATAGAAAATGTAGTTAGGAGTTTGTGGCACCGTTACAGTTGCCATTGTCTCAGGAAGTGCATTCGAGATGTGGTGAACCCTGCGAGAGTCGCTGGATGTGAAGTTTTCATCCTGAACACGTTCAGAAGAATTTGCACATGGAACTAATTCAATTCAGTTAACAGCCGATGAAGTTTGATTCCTAGCCAGATGTAAACCGGCCCATTTTGTGCAAAGAGGCTCAGTGACCCGAAAAATTCCTCTGATTATGTGGAAAAAAAACAAGATACTGTGACCTCAGATCAATTCCGATCAGCAGTGATAACTGCGAGACACCGCGTTTGATTGGAGCAATGGGATCGAAAGCATTGTTGCTCAAGGGTAGAAAACGTAATTTGCCTGATCACCAACTCGTTCGAGAGTTCTCCCACGTTTACTGCTCATTTTATGATGATATTTGGTTTACATTGCTCACGGGCAAGTGCACAGTCTTCCAGAAAGTGGCTGAGACCTCCAACTTGTGCTTTGTTTTTTTTATTTTACCAGAATTGTAGGCAAAGTTCCGGAATTTCGTCTTCTGTCCTTTAAAAAGCTGTGCAAAGAAGACATAGCTTGGTGTTGTTTTCTTTTGAACATGGCTGCTGCGTTACAATATTGACTGTTGCCTAGTAAAAAGGCATATAGGGTTGTCTTGATGATTCAAAACAAAAAATAAAGGTAAACATTGGTGGAATGAATTAGTTTAAAGCCTCTGGACAGATGAATGGAGGAGGCTAGTGCAAGTTAAGAATGTTGCTGATCATCCGCTCGTGGCCAAGCGGCTAGGTGTTCAAACGGAAAGCCGAGAGGTCTCAAGTAGAAATCCCAAAATCTCTTCACACCGCAGTCAAAGAGTTTTAGGTCTTTTGACCGAATACCAGTTTTTCTATAATCTTTATAACAGGTTATCAGCGAGCGTGTTCATGAACCCTAAAAGAATTTTTTTATTAGCACATCGAATATAGCTGACTTGAATCTGTCCAATTCAATCCATACACCGATCTCCGTTGCCACTTTTCCCCCGATCTCCTCCGTTTGGCTTAGCCTATTGACTTTCCCCGTTCTTCGCAATTCAAGCAGTTTGAGCTAACAGTCTTTCCCAGTTTGCATATGTCAAATACTTTGTGAGTTGATCCACTGGAATTTATAGACAAGCATTCTTACTGATCCCTCCTCGAATCTATCAAAGACTGACCCCTCATTACCACAACATCTCTAACCGACTACGCTTCCGGTACGTTATGGATTGTCTCTGAACTCTAACCCTTCTACCCACGACACACTATTTTGTATGCCATAAACACGTGAATTACCGTGATTTAAACAAGCAGTCGTTAAACAGACTGCTGATAGAGTAGCGATCTTTGGCTCAACAGTCCACACTATCGACAGAAATTTAAAGTGACTGCGTCGTTAGAATTGTAGTCACGCTTGATAAGATAACATAACTTGCCCTAAAGAGCTATAATCAAAAGCATTTATCGACTGGATTCCTATAAGTTTGGTGAAACAGAATTACGAACGGTGTGTAGGGATCAAGCAGATTTTACTTGCCTTGCCCAATTTAGAAACGGAAGGCGAACGAAAACGCTTTATTACATAAAAGCTAAAGAAGTGAATAAGGCTGCGAACTTCAGGCATGCGGAGGAATGAAGCATAGTCAAGGAATCGGTAAAAGAACATATTCATATACACTTTACAATTACACTGATAACGATGGAGGGTCTGGTTGCTTGAAATCAGTGTGGTCCGTAGAATCGTTCTGACCATTGTACATAAGGCATTGCGAATTGAAAATGAAGCTGTTGCCGCGCTTTACGCAGAATCGAATCTTTGTAGTAGAATCTAAATGAAATAAGAATAAATTGGTGTGTAAACAGTTGTGTCATTCTCAGAACCTGAGGTTAAGAAGGAAGTACAGAAGGAAAAGGTAAAAAGCGAGTCTTAATTGGAAGTAAGAACTTATCCACTGCCCAGCACGAACCGAGGAGAGTTGAAACAGCATCTGGTGCAAGTTCCGCTCAAGATAGGACCGGATAATATTTTAGATGATAATGACGATCGGTATCATCTCCCTATCATGATAATTATTACCATCTTAGATGGCCACATCACTGAGTAAGCTGATGCTTTGCTACCGTATCTAGGCAGTTTGTTTGTTTTGAAAGACGAGGTTTGAAAAAGAATATAGGGGTATTAGAAGGGACCTGATTCTAGCTTGTCACATATAGTCTGAATTCCCGAAACCCACCAACTCAACCAAAAAACTAAAACAAGGAAATTTACTGGTGTCAATGAGCTTTTGGATTTTGTAGCGTCGGGAAGGTCAAGGAGACCCCATCCAGGATGGGGTATGGCGGGTGATGGCGTAAACTGCACGTGAAATTTTCGTGATCTATTTCATAAGGCCCTATGCCTTTAGGTCGATCTACGTGGTGCCCATCCTGCAGCTTTCGTTCCCCTAACTAAGGTGTAAAGAGCACAGATTATTTTAGCTTACAGGATGAACTCTGATGAAAATGTCATTAAAAATTCCAAAGCATCTTCACCTACCAATGAAGAACAAGGTCTGTATTGATTGACGATTATCCACTATATGTTGTGCATGGTCGAGCTACCGCACATTGTGGTGCATGTTTCCGTGACTGAATTATCTTCTGTGCTCTACTCGCTTTCAGATTTAGTGCATCTGGGGAACGATCTCGGGTGTAAATGGTTTGTCGTCTTCGCCTTCGGTTGCATGAAGCTCATAGGCTTCCAGGCCGTTGAATACAGTCAGCCTACTTAGTTCAAGCCTGATTGAACTGAATCCCGAAAGCCAAGTGAGTAAGTAAGTCGGTTGATTGGTTTTTTTGAAGGATCACCTTCCAGTTGATAAGACTAAGAACTGTGTATACAAAATAAAATGTAACGACTGTAAGAAGGTTTATATAGGTCAGACAGCCAGGGAATTGCACACCAGAATCGGTGAGCATAAACGTTCCATTAACAGACCACCGAGAAACGCAGATGAATCCCAGGGGTCAGTCAAAGATTCAGCAATGGCAGGGCATGCTCTAGACACTGGGCATAAGATAGATTTAGAAAATGTGGACATCCTGAGACGGGGTTTAAGATTCACACCACAGCGACTGGTGGCCGAGGCGGTGGAAATCGCCAAGCATCCCAGTATGAATAGAATAGAGGGGGTAGAACTTGCAAACGTGTAGAGAGCGGTCTTAGATCAGCCGAGATGACACGAGGCGGTGTGCAGTTATCAGCGACATCGCCCGGGTCTAAAAGCACAAAAATCCAAGTGGCGTTAGATCCAATTAATCACCCCACCCCCATTCCCAAACCAATGGTCCCAGCACTTTTGGACGAACACAGGTGAACGAAATCTGTGAACGACCCCAAGAGGAATTTTCCATTAATGTGTCCTACACTGAAGAAGCAGGGACGAAAAAATCCGGGTTTATCATAAAGACGACCCCCCCTAACCAATCTATCGTAAAGCTCAGTCATCCCCACTAATCAACAAACAGGAACATCAGACTGAACACCCAGTACTGATCACGTCACTAATCATAAGGAACCTCACGGATGGGTTCCCTGACTGCCTTAAAACCCAATCAACCTACTTACTTACTCACTTGGCCTGACGAAGCTTTTGTGTCAAAAGCGAAAAGTTGCCCAGCAATAAATCCACCGATTGTTTACCAAACCCCTCTGAAACGATAACTTCCCAATCGGTCCCAAACATTTTCCAATTGACTGAATTACGAAAGCATCATCCATTTAGGGTTATGTGAACTGAACCCTTATTTAACAGGACAGGTCTCGTGATTAAGTGAAGCTGAAAAACGCAACCAATCAATACTGGATGTAATCGTTCTGGAATAAAAGTACCCAGGTTGTTCTCTCAGGACGCCGACCTTCCAAAGAAACCGGGTTTTTCCTGTTCCGTGAACTATACTTTGATGGGCGAAGAATTTTGGAAATTTTAACCCCCACACCTCACACTTCTCAGAAGTGTGAAACACTGCTTTTCACGGAGTTTGATTTCTGACAGGTCGTGGTGAGCTAAGGTTCTCAAGACTGGAGTTCATTCCTACCGATCACCTTCCGTACACATTCGTCCCACTGTGCAATACAGTGAATCGTCAGATGTACCGTGGAGCGTGGGTTCAGTGTTGGTTACTATTTCCACTCACCGCTGAGGACAGTTCAAATTGTTCTGGCTAGTGATCCAGCTAACTTGCCTTGGTTTTCAGGTGAAATGAAGGGAACCAAGATGCTCATAGTTCTCAAAAGTGAGCTCAGCCAATATAAATATCGTGGGATGCCTAAATCATGTTAGGCTTTAGTCTAAAAACAGTGAATTCGAAAACTCACATGCCGTCTCCTGAAGGCACATTTACAGAATGTGTGCATCCAAGATCGCACGCATTTGAGTCGTACGTGTGAACTTAGCGTGGAAGTATCCGCCCTCAAACGTTCCTCCAAATCCGATAATACCATGCAAGTTTAGTCCGTTTCATAAAATCCCGTTACATGCAACTCCCACTTCAAGAGGCCCCAACCTAAACGAGAAAACTCCACCCTGAGACCGACAAGCAAAGCTGATCTGCCGTTAATATGAAGACAAATGTATTATTCTGATAGGCCAAGTGTGAAAAATACCACATTGCTAATTAATCAGGCTAGGTTAACCCATCTCACTAACGTACATGGTCCTGAAGTGAAAAATAGCCCTCTACTGCTGAACTACATTCAACCACAAGTTGTAAAACCGGACGGATACTGTAACACTTTTTTTATCAAGCTATCTGTGGTTCTTACGCATCTGAGGATGTTTGGTTAAACGTTTCAAATGAAATGGAACAGGGAATGACAGCCAACAGCAGACTGGATCTAAGACTACGTTGAAAGTTGCACAGTGCTTCCTTCGGGTAATGCGATTTCTCGAAAATGTTAAACATTTGGGTTCCTATAGACACCCTGTTTCTATGGTGAACTGGTGAAATATCCAATCTACCCGGCTGACGTCGTCTTTAGCAAAAGATGTCGGTGGTTTGAATGGAATCAGCCATGGTTAGAAGAGAGGATTTGTGCAGATACATGAATTGCAAAGAGTTCTAGCTAAATAAATACTGACGATTTATGAAGACGATGGACTAACTGTTTTTTAAGTCCCATTAATAAGTCTATATGAATAATAATAATAATGTTTTTTACACAGTGTTTCATTATTGAAAGTCTCTGTTGTTTCAGTAGGCATCAGCTAGGTAGATTGTTCTGTTCACTTTTAAACTCAGCCACTATGGAAAGCCGGTATTCCAATGCTAACGTTTATTCGGGAGGAGGGGAATCGTCTAACCACCAGAAGACCAGTCGTTAGGGCACGCAGAAGTTCTATCTACATTCGTGTCTTCTTGTTCCACTATTCAGTTAACTTAGAAAGAGGGACCTAGTGGTTGGAGTATTGTGATGCGTCTATCCATCATAGAATGTTACCTTACTACAAGATGCAGCTGAATTTTCTGCCAATACACACTGCAGTCTTCTGAACTCAGAGAACTAGTAAGTTAGATGTGATGAAATTCCGGAATATTATCCCGTACTCAGCCGAGATAGAGACACAGTTGAAATGAGTTGTGTGATGGGATTAAGTTGACTATTTGCGGGCTAACTTCTGGTCTTACATAGGTTTTCGGCTGCATCCAACGGTTGTTCACACAACCGACAAAACTTCTGAACTTGAGTTAAACTTAGGTCACGTTGTAATTGACATATCAGAAGCCTAGAATGCTCTAGAAATTCGCTCGTTTTTTATTAAGATTTGTCGGAAAATGGAAATACATCTTACATTGCTCTAGTTATCGCTTCTATTTCGGCATTTCGTCACTGGTGATAGATGTAGTGAAATTTTGCCGCGCGAACATATCGATCCGTGCAAAAGTTGTTTAGAAGGAGCTTTGGAGAAGCAATCTGACTAATATCTCTTGTTACTGTAGTTCGCCATTTTGTTCTTTAATTCGGCATTATGTCAAACTGTTGGATGCCTTCATTGGTTATTGATAATCAAGCTTGGTAAGTAGCTTATGAATGATCTGTCACTAGCAAAGGCGATAAGAGCACAACAGCCGCACCCTAATGCTCTATTTTTCAACTACACGTTTTTCAACCAATCACCAAGCTCGGCGAACAAGTCAACTACCATCCGGTCCTTTGCTGCCGTTTGAAAAATGAACAAGCATAAAGTGAAACTAAAGCAAAATCTTTCGGTGTATTCATAAGCAAATTCAGAACTTGGCCAGAAAATTGGTGCGAAAAACGTTTTCGCACTTTTAGCTTGAAGTTTAACAATTCCAGGTTATCGCTACTATGTTTACTTTTCAGGAGTTCTCTATAGCCACCAAAAGCGCGCCTAATATTTCTTTGATATTTCCGGTCTATTAACTCGACTCTGACATGATACACTACGTGTCTTAAAAAACTATGTAAAGCTGCCTGTGCTACTTAACTCACCTCATCGCGCGCGCCATTTTTTCGTAGTCCATTCGACTGTTGTTTCGATATCGTCCCCATTCGCGCGCGGCAGCATGGGTGTCTTTTATTCGGAAGACTCCAGTAGCGGAATTAACCCATTCGAATGCGGACTGACTGGCCGTTTGAAGCCGACATAGAATAAATTGCCACAGTTCCATTTGTTTCCTACGTCGTCGTTCACGAGCAGATGTACGAGGGGGACTTCGTTTGTGGTGTTTGGTTCTAGATTTAGATGACTTGCAATGGTTGGAGTGGCGAGTTTGGACTTGATGAGAGTCCACGGACTCGACACCAGTTCCGTGACCGGAATCGATCGTTTGCTTGTCAGTATCTGAACAGCAGAGCTCATCAATGTGATCTGAGTCGTCCGCACTGATTTGCCTCTCGGCCGACGAATTATCACAGCTACTTAGTAGGAGAGAGTCTCTTGGCCACCAAGGTTTGAGATGTGCATCAGCTTGGGCGTTTTTTAGCCGTCGAAAAGAAGGCAACTTCTCAGTTGACCGGAGCTCTGATTGCTGCGAATTTTGTCGACATCGACGTGCCTTACTCGACTTTTTATAATCAGCATCAGAAATATTGGAGGTATCTGATTCGTCCTCTGATTCCCATATCTCCGTTGATAATGCCTGCAATAGCCGCCGATTACAATTACTTTTAAAAGAAATACGTTTTCGACGGTATTTTCTCCTCAGTTCCATTTGTTCACAGTAGTATTCAGCTTCTGAACAGGTTAAGGTTCCATCAGTATCTATTACAGTTTCAATACCATTTGATTTATGGGAATCAGGTAGACAGGGCTCTTGGTTTACAGAAGAATGCACTGTACAGGGGGACGGAAGTTCCAACATGGTGACGTTCGAATAGGTATTATCAATGTCTGTTGAAATGGTAAAAGGTACAGCCGACTCTGCATCAATGCCTTCATCCAAAGTTGTATAAATTATATCATCAATCATAGGAAACGGTGGGCCATTTTCACTGTCTGGTGTTCGTAAGCAGTTTGAAGATGTTAAAATTCGATCTACTTCATCCAAACATAGATCTAAAGGGAACAAAAAACGGAAAACGAGAGTCAGCTATAAAATACCTTGACTTATTATTTGAGGCATCGTACGGAGTCGACTTTTGATGGAAACATTCCATTTTGTACATTGGTACGTAGGCCAAGTGAGGTTTTGGTGCCTGATTCTGAAGTACAATACGATGTTCAACGGCTTTTCTTTTAAAGAACACCTTTAAAGTACGGCAAACATTTTTGTCTAGTTAGCTAAATCATAGAAAAATGCTTTTGAGATCGGGATTTCTTCCTAATGCCACGTTGGCTGTTTACGTCCACTGCACAGAGCGAGTTGTTTTCTGTCCGTCCGCGAGCAAACCAGTCTACGAGAAAGCTGTGCTACAACCTGGGGGGACACCTAACCACAAAGTAAGTAAAAATAAAGTCACAGTGCAAAGCGTTGCCTTCTTGAATGCAGTAAAGTCCCAGGTCAACAATGAAATAATGTTTCACTTACGACACGATCATATCGGAGGTGAAGTTATAACGGCAGATTTACCATTCGGTATATTTTCATATGAACGACATGGCATAATCATTTCGATTTATTACAGCAGGTAATGTTAATGTCGTCCAATGTGCATTTGGACTTTGGGATGAATAGAAGGAGATACTGGGCCCTGGACGGAAAAAGGTATTTTTTGGGCTTCGATTAGTTAGGATACCATTAACTCATTATGGGTGTACAGCGTGAATGATTTTCACTAACAGTAACACCAGGTATAACAAGGCAGTTGAACTTACTTGGTAACTCGAGAGCATTAATCCAAGCCATATCTGCGCTGGCTAGTTGTTCTTCCAAGGTACTTGTGTTAGTTGGTGTTGCGAAAGACAAAGGCGTGTCTGTCAGGACTGGGGATTTGTTTAATTTGCGCAGCTGAAGAGATTTTGGTCGAAAGCTTGTCCTAGCTGAAATCCACGTGCTTTTTATATCACTTGATGACCAAGGAACAACGGAATCTGGATGTTTGGTGCTGATGTTAGAAGCAGAAGTAGGCTGTCCGACTGCAGGGCGATTATCTACGGAACTTCGTCTGAGATCATGAGGTTTCATGAGTTCGGGACCTGAAGGATTCGGTGATGGGAGCAACTGAATTGACTGAAGCTTGTGAGATTCATCAGTAAATAGATGGAGATGAGCGGACGAGTCGATGTGCTGACATTCTGACTGAAGTGGATTGAGCTCGGTGTAAAGGTTGTCTTTTCTGGGAGGCGAATGGGAGTCTAAGCTTCGGAATGATTCAGCGGACTCTGAGGAGCTTGGTGAACGGGAATTCCAACAGTCATTGGCTGAAGGCGGAGTATCTGGGAGTCGCATTATGTCAATCGCATAACCTGGCATGTTGGCTTCTATGTCGGTGTTAGTAGTAACGAATGAGCGGTAAAACGTTTGTTTTTCAAGGAACCAGCGAAAGGGAGAGAGAGAGACAAATCGAGCCAGTGATAATGTTTCATATCACTATCATGAGTAATAAGAATATTAACGACACCAGCAACAGTTAAAGCAAATATAGACGATGAGACACTCTAGCATGAATGCTGACACGGGTGTGTACGAAGCTATGTAGTACTATCTTCTAAAAGCATGTGCACCGGGAATTTACCGATCTACATATTCTTGGCCTGTTCTCCAGGTTCATCGCTGCAATTACTCATTCGGACAAACGAGCTTCATCATTCTGAGGATATGGTATTTTCAGTTCAAGAGAAAGTTCACTAAAGTATTCTCTGAGATGTGCACAGTAAGCAGTGCGTATTGTCCCAATTATTGACCAACGTCCCAGTTTAGAGGGGATGACTGGCTAGCTGTAGTCTTCCTGTGGTTATCCCTGGCCAAACTCCAAGCTCACTTGCTAGTGCCACTTCCTTTGTGATGGCACTCAAGCGTGTATTAAGCAGAGTACACACGCTCATACTAAAATAGGCGCCTACTTTCTGAATAGCAAACATAACCCAAAATAACTTTTCTAGAGAAAAGGTACAGGAAAACAAAATGTAATGCTTCATTCACATCCTTATGAATATCAACTGTGCCATAGGTTTACAGCTAAAAAAATTGTGACTTAATGTTGTAAAATAATTCGGTTTTCGGAAAAACAGGTTTCCCTAAAAAGCAACTGGCGGAGTGAATTCACGTGCTCACTAAGCCTATTCAACTCCATGGCTGATCAGCTGATTTGGTCCATGGAAAATAACCAATCATTTTAGCTACACCTATTGCGGGAAATATTCTATCCTGAGACAACTCATGACGTTAAGGCGGCAGAATGGCGCGCAACATGGAGTACATGGAGTTACCCTAGTAGCGTATTCAGTGTAAGAAACATAATAAAGACTATGTACTAGTCACCCTTAACAGAATAACACTTATGGCGCGCTGGATAAATTTTACCAAAAGCTTGACCCCAAAAGCCTCAGTTGAATGATTTACCTTAATTTTTAAACTACTTATGTTGTAGAAAGTAGCATTACAATTGCGAAATTATCCGTACATTCATGTTCACATCACTCCCGTCTCAACAGTCGTCGTACTACCTTGGCGTAATTATTCTAATGAGGCCACACTGAAGGGAGGAAGCACTGGACTCGAGTTTCAAACGTGTTGGAACATATATGATACATATTCTTGGCCATGCGGGGGCTTGAACTCCGGACATATGATATGTAATGAGAACGTGTTGCAAATTATTCTTGCAAGGTTAGGCAAGCCTTCGCTTGAGCGTAGACAGGGCATCTCAGTAGTGAGTACCGTCAGTAACCTTGAAAAAGTTTGAAACCTTCAAACTTCCCTATACTTTTAGCTATGATTTACGGGATGACCACTCTGCGGCTAGATATTCAGCACATTTCAATTTCCATCTTTTCAAGTGAAAACGCTTCACAGGGAAATTCACTTGACCTGTGATTGATCTCCCTCCCGACCCGTATACTGCAAATAATGTGATCATAAGTTTTCAGCTGTGGGCTTGTGCGTTCCTGACGCACGCAGAAAAACCAGGAAAAATAACCCTTGGAGCTTACGTATATCCTTGCTAATTACGGACTAAAAATGGAGCCCCAGGTCTTTCAATGTACCGTCGTCTAGTAGTCCGACTTGGGACGTGGCAAACTCAAAGGATGGCAACACATTTTGGCCTTACAGAGATTTCTTTGGTTTCTAGTTTGATTCCAATTCAGTAAATAGCGTTTTAGCAGTAAAACCTCAACAGACATGACACTTAAGACAATCACTGACTGTTTATGGGGGTTACTTAAATGAAACAGAGACATACAGAGGTTTAAAAAATGGCTGTCAAGTATCACAAAACCCTTCTGTGTTCAGAGCTGGAGTAGAACGTACTTTTGCCCTGATTCAGCATTGATAATTTTCGCTCGGGATCGATAATTTATTCTCCGGGGAAACGTAATCAACAGCTCTGATTATTAGCCTGGTAAAAATATCCTTATAACAACACTCTTTCTGAGATCACTAAGTCATCGATTGGCGTTTGAACACATAATCTTAGTATACCGTGCAGACCAAACCAGTTTAGCGATGGTGTATGTCGGTACCCACAAATTTACGGTGTCAACAAAGCCAGAGTAGTCAAAATACCTGAATATACGCTCAGACAATTCTAGGATATTGCACTCCAGAACTATGGAGTGACAGTCTCTTCTTTGAGAGGCGGAGAGATGCCGCCAGAATCGTCTCATCCAGAGCCATCAAACTCGGGGCTGGGGGCACTACCAGAAGCTTTACGTTGTTCTTATGGGTTCTTCGTTGTAAATTTTCTTCGTTTCTGTCAAAACTAATCAATTCTACAAAATAGAATTATTTGAGACCTTTTTATAATGGGCTAACGATTGGGTTAATTTTTCGGGTTTGTATTTATATAGAGTGAGCAAATCTGGTCAAAACTCTGCAAACAAAGCTGGCAAGAACGTGGCGTGACTTAGAGCGAAAAATATCGACAGCACCCTATGAGCTCTCTGTTTCGCAGCTTGACGTGCCAACTTTACGTGGCGGTAGGGCCTAATCCCTGACCACACAAGCTGAACTGGCTAGAACTTCGTTACACAAGGTACACCCACGTCAGGAAGGCCAAAATGGAGCAGTCAGATCAAGAGAAGCGATATCACACACTATCAAAAGTGAGTCTTGGGTTAAAGTTTCACTGTCCTATGAGATGGGAGTATAAAGTTTGTAAAGTGTTTCTCCCAGCCTACCTGAATAGCCATATTTATTGAAGCATTGGTTCCACCTTCCCTTGAGGAAATGCGAGTTGGTAAAGGTCGTCCATAAAAATCGTACGGTCGAACTACCTTTAAAACCAAGGAGTCTGATGATGCCCAAACGCATCGACTCTGCACAACAGCATCAGGAGTAAGACAGCTACGCCGTACTCTATTCGCCCTCGGGTTCGCCAGTCCCCTGCTGTCGAGCAGATTAGAATATTGAGTCATCGGCTCCGGGAAGGGTCCCTGGGGATCTTGAATCATTTGGTTGTCAGTTAGCAAGCCCTATGAGCTGTTTATTTAACAGGCTCAATTAAGGACAGTGCTACTCGACATAATAAGGTGCCTGTTTGTGGTGTGTACACATGATTCAATGGGTAGCAGTTCTGATGCTGAACAGGATACTGCCCAGGTTTACTCGGGATCATTCGTCAAGCGGGAAGTATGAACATTATCATCCTTGCGGGTGGTATGAATATCCGAGTCAGTCATGTGAGCTCGTCAAAATCATGTCTGGGAGATCGAGCTGGAGTCCGTTCTCGTAGTACAAACAGCGGAGAGTAACTCCTCTAGTTGTGTGCTAATAATTAGAGGCTCCTGACCAGCAAGGATTTTCAGTATAAACGCTCCCCTTCAAAACTGTCCGTCTGACTTCTCCGACACGGTCAGATGGCCACTGTATATCACTGTGTATCACTGTGTATCACCATCACTGGTCATGCTGAATGTCAGGAGATCCATGCCAACGGTGCACTTAAATGATGCAGTGACTACGGAGAGACCGAACGACGACCGGTACGTTCGACTGGCCAAAAGGTAGAGACGGGCAGTGGATTGATGAGCGAAAATGACGGCTTATCAGTTTACTCGCAAAAGTCCTGACTGGAGAGCTGAACCGCCAGGCTCTGTAGTAATGTCTGTGGAGCGAAGGTGTCTCTAATGATTTCATGACCCCCTGAAGGTACTGTAAACCAACTATCACGAAAGTGTAATGGTATACGGGAAGCGCTCACTTGAGTTCACTATAGAAAATGTTGTCAGGCAACACTGACCTCTTTCATCTCTCCTTTTCAACTGCAACATTAATATATTCCTGCAGGGTTCAATCCCAGCCATCTATACCTTTGGGTCGAAATGTCCCCAGGGCATTCGCAGGCGAAATATCTCTTTTTGTATTTGAGACTATCGTGATGCAAGCGATATTAAATAACCCAACTAATTCTGTCTCACCATTTGGCATGCGCTCCACATATGCAGATTTCGAGACCAAACCATAACCCCATGCTTGCGAAAGAACCGATTGAGGTAGGCAGCTGTATCAGTCTAGCCAAAGACGACGTTTCAATCCGGGTTGAGGAGGCCAGAGCAGCTTTTGTAAACCCACACCACCTGTGGAGCAGACTTGAATCAGATCCTCTATCAAGGGTCGAGGTTACAATGGTACACTGTACTTTACATCGCCATATGGGTCAGAAAGCTGGTTAAGTATGTCAAAAATTTTAACTGTTTGACCATCGATGTTTTCAGAGCATTGACCGAGTCTAGTGAGAACGAATGGTTTTCAGAAGAAATAACTCCCTACGATTGGTGAACTGATCATAGGTGGCGCCGGCTTGGTGACGTGCTCTATATGCTAGTTGAGGAAATTACTCGAAGCAATCTTTTTCGCACAATAACTCGAAGAATAGGAAGAGCCAAGGGATGTTAAACAACGGCTTGACAGCGTATTTTTGGAAGCCATTGCAAACACACTCAGTCGCATTGATTATTCCCTCTCCCTGTATAGGGAATTCTAGACGAGGTACGTTAGTAGACAGATACATTGTTTGACATCGTCCACTAGCATGCTCATTAGCCTGCATGAATAGAGCATACAGCTTCCTCTTAGGATCTCCCAAATCTGAATTCCATTGATACCACTCTATTTACCCATCAATTTTATCAGCTAAAGCTGCCGATTCGTAGCTATCTACCCCACCTTCCTAAATGATCGGTGGACAAAAGTGAGGCAGCCATATCCACAGTAAAACAAGTACGCTGGTTTTACAGCCGATGATGATAATGATGATTTTGCTCGAAGCTGATTTATTGCTAGACCCGCCGCTCTGTTTTCATCCGTCGAGCGTTTTCATGCTAAGAAACGTCAGGAAAATATATATAAAATATCAGTAGAACACATATTCGCAGAGTTTCATGCCTACTCTCACCAAATACCATTTAGATAATCTATTCAGAGTGGATAGCAGTAAATGATACGCCAGAAAGTGTTAACTTTTGTAAGCTGATTTCACGCTTGTATCATACTCAACAAACTTCGAGGGACTAGAGAAATTCAAATTTTTCGGAAATTCGGTGCGTTGAACTGGAGACTAGTAATGGTTGTTGCAAAAAAAAACGGATGGATTTCTTAGTTACCGCTTTTCGACTTTGCCTTCTAATACCCAGTAAGCCATTTTTGCTAAAAAAAACTACATATGGACATGTGATATTTGTACGGCTTGTATGTTAAGTAGACCAATGTGTTGCTTCTCCGGACGTTCCTGATTACATGTTTTCTTCTATGGACTGGTGGATATTATAAAGGAACAGCCCTTAAAAGGAACTTGTTTGTCCCTTTGTTTCACGTTATTTCATGAGGGCCGGTGGAGCAACCGTAATTATGCAATGAAGCCTCAGCAGTAAACTCTTTGCGAATTACTTACCTCCGGTTAAATGACCATATTTGAACTCAGGTACTCCACCCTGCCATGTTTTCTGAAGTTTGAATCTGAAATGAAACAAGAAGGAACGGAAGAATATGAAGATGAACTTCTGACATTCAGTTAAGACTTCATGTTGGAAGCGAGTACCTTTTGAGGGGTTTACTCGGGGGTAGTACTCTGGTTCGCAAACACATCTACAGGAGGGTAAAAGAGATTTTGTCATCAGATCAAACATACATCTCGTTTTAGCAGAGTGGCCAACCAATTGAAAGGTTAGCAGCCATATAGACCACAATTTTTGCTCAAATGGCATTGTTTCCAAGAAAGACATCAGCTTCGAGAGCGGCGCACAAACAACTGGACAACTCGTAGCTGTACGCAAATAGTGATAGATATCCACTGAATATTTTGGAGGAACAAGACAACAACATTCAGTATTAATTGAAACCCAGAGGAATAGGACGCGCGCAGAAGACTATTAACACGTCCCGATATTTTTTGAAGGATTAGTCGACACAATGTTTTGCATGGAAAGAATAGAACTTTCAGTCTGATTTGATAAAAATCTAACTTTGACTCGATATTAGGTCGGGATATCTTGGAAGATATGCAGTCCTTTGGGCTACGTGAGACAGCTTGGATGGTCGTTTAGGACACCCAAACTCATTTTAAGATTTCCAATAAAAGAATTTGGGGTTACTATCAAGCAGGACAGAGAATCTCATCAGGACATCCAGTAAAAATCAGCGGAAATTTTCGACACAGTAATAGTGTATTTATGATTCAGCTGGTGTTTTGGTTTATTTATCACCAAATACAACCTCAGTGAATAATAGTTTTGGTAAGATCCTGTGTGATCTGCTATTGAAGTCAGATGAACTGCTTTTGAAGCGCGTTTCAGCTGATAAGGATGCAGTAATTTGGAATTGTTTAGGATTCACGTAACAAGTTGCCGAATATGTCAGTTTTTTAACACTCAGGTACCTAGAATTCATAGAAGAGAACCTTTTTCCATTCACTATCATTCTTTAGCACCCAGAATGCCAGCATCGAATGTAGGTTGTGGAATTTTTGCTGAGTGAAGCGGCACCTACTAGCAAGCCACGGTCTACTCAACGATTTGTGGGTCACTTATATTCTATACTTGTTTATTTGTTATTTCCCGTTACCTAAACCTTCCAGAGACAGAATACACTAAATTGCTTTACAAACTAGTTAGACATCTTCCAGACATTGTGACAGCCTGCCTGATGCCTAATGTGATAGCTCGTCATCGCTTCGTCTTTCAGACAATCATCGTTTGCAGCAGGTCAACAACGCCATGTAACTGAAAGCTCTGTAAACACAAGCGAGCGCTTCGAGTGTGTCACGAACCTGCACACGAAATGTTTCGAATCTTCAAACAAGCCGGTGTTTGAATTGGCTCTTACCGGTTCGCCTACTCACTTATTTGCATATCTGTCGTTAGCGGACTGCAAATGAATGAGCATAGACAAGTGGCATGAGCGGAAACAAAAAGACGAACAAAGGTAAGCACATGCTGAGCGTCTAAAACTGAAAGGTTTCCGGCACTCTAAATCATGAGCTGGCTAGAAACGAAGACCTCAAAGAAACTAATACCGCTGGTTCTGAAGAACTCTACCTTGAATGTCCTTTAAATTTACAGCACTGATACCAACAAATAAGACACCAGAAAGAAGAAAATGTGCTCACATTTCTTGTCAGCGTTAGATTTTTGTCTTCATCAACAGGGCATGAGAAACCGCTTAAGTATGAACGGATTGGTCCACCAAACCTTTTACTGTTAAAGATAACTCCGCATAAGTTTGGATTCAAAGGTCAAAGACTTATACAAAGTTTCAATATGCCAGCCGTCAGGTAGATGAAGCCGAACATCTGCACAAAAGCGTCACATGGTTATGTGTAAAGTTGCCGTAACGTCTCCTTTCTTGTCAATCATTTAGGAAACTCAAAAAGAAGACGATGTTGGGTGGATTGTAAGGCAATCATGTGGCGGGGAACCGCCAGGCTCTGTAGTAATGTCTGTGGAGCGAAGGTGTCTCTAATGATTTCATGACCCCCTGAAGGTACTGTAAACCAACTATCACGAAAGTGTAATGGTATACGGGAAGCGCTCACTTGAGTTCACTATAGAAAATGTTGTCAGGCAACACTGACCTCTTTCGTCTCTCCTTTTCAACTGCAACATTAATATATTCCTGCAGGGTTCAATCCCAGCCATCTATACCTTTGGGTCGAAATGTCCCCAGGGCATTCGCAGGCGAAATATCTCTTTTTGTATTTGAGACTATCGTGATGCAAGCGATATTAAATAACCCAACTAATTCTGTCTCACCATTTGGCATGCGCTCCACATATGCAGATTTCGAGACCAAACCATAACCCCATGCTTGCGAAAGAACCGATTGAGGTAGGCAAATCTGTCTACCTGGGCAGCTGTATCAGTCTAGCCAAAGACGACGTTTCAATCCGGGTTGAGGAGGCCAGAGCAGCTTTTGTAAACCCACACCACCTGTGGAGCAGACTTGAATCAGATCCTCTATCAAGGGTCGAGGTTACAATGGTACACTGTACTTTACATCGCCGATCAGATCAGAAAGCTGGTTAAGTATGTTAAAAACTTTAACTGTTTGACCATCGATGTTTTCAGAGCATTGACCGAGTCTAGTGAGATGGTTTTCATGTTTGACCATCGATGTTTTCAGAGCATTGACCGAGTCTAGTGAGAACGAATGGTTTTCAGAAGAAATAACTCCCTACGATTGGTGAACTGATCATAGGTGACGTGCTCTATATGCTAGTTGAGGAAATTACTCGAAGCAATCTTTTTCGCACAATAACTCGAAGAATAGGAAGAGCCAAGGGATGTTAAACAACGGCTTGACAGCGTATTTTTGGAAGCCATTGCAAACACACTCAGTCGCATTGATTATTCCCTCTCCCTGTATAGGGAATTCTAGACGAGGTACGTTAGTAGACAGATACATTGTTTGACATCGTCCACTAGCATGCTCATTAGCCTGCATGAATAGAGCATACAGCTTCCTCTTAGGATCTCCCAAATCTGAATTCCATTGATACCACTCTATTTACCCATCAATTTTATCAGCTAAAGCTGCCGATTCGTAGCTATCTACCCCACCTTCCTAAATGATCGGTGGACAAAAGTGAGGCAGCCATATCCACAGTAAAACAAGTACGCTGGTTTTACAGCCGATGATGATAATGATGATTTTGCTCGAAGCTGATTTATTGCAAGACCCGCCGCTCTGTTTTCATCCGTCGAGCGTTTTCATGCTAAGAAACGTCAGGAAAATACATATAAAATATCAGTAGAACACATATTCGCAGAGTTTCATGCCTACTCTCACCAAATACCATTTAGATAATCTATTCAGAGTGGATAGCAGTAAATGATACGCCAGAAAGTGTTAACTTTTGTAAGCTGATTTCACGCTTGTATCATACTCAACAAACTTCGAGGGACTAGAGAAATTCAAATTTTTCGGAAATTCGGTGCGTTGAACTGGAGACTAGTAATGGTTGTTGCAAAAAAAAACGGATGGATTTCTTAGTTACCGCTTTTCGACTTTGCCTTCTAATACCCAGTAAGCCATTTTTGCTAAAAAAAACTACATATGGACATGTGATATTTGTACGGCTTGTATGTTAAGTAGACCAATGTGTTGCTTCTCCGGACGTTCCTGATTACATGTTTTCTTCTATGGACTGGTGGATATTATAAAGGAACAGCCCTTCAAAGGAACTTGTTTGTCCCGTTGTTTCACGTTATTTCATGAGGGCCGGTGGAGCAACCGTAATTATGCAATGAAGCCTCAGCAGTAAACTCTTTGCGAATTACTTACCTCCGGTTAAATGACCATATTTGAACTCAGGTACTCCACCCTGCCATGTTTTCTGAAGTTTGAATCTGAAATGAAACAAGAAGGAACGGAAGAATATGAAGATGAACTTCTGACATTCAGTTAAGACTTCATGTTGGAAGCGAGTACCTTTTGAGGGGTTTACTCGGGGGTAGTACTCTGGTTCGCAAACACATCTACAGGAGGGTAAAAGAGATTTTGTCATCAGATCAAACATACATCTCGTTTTAGCAGAGTGGCCAACCAATTGAAAGGTTAGCAGCCATATAGACCACAATTTTTGCTCAAATGGCATTGTTTCCAAGAAAGACATCAGCTTCGAGAGCGGCGCACAAACAACTGGACAACTCGTAGCTGTACGCAAATAGTGATAGATATCCACTGAATATTTTGGAGGAACAAGACAACAACATTCAGTATTAATTGAAACCCAGAGGAATAGGACGCGCGCAGAAGACTATTAACACGTCCCGATATTTTTTGAAGGATTAGTCGACACAATGTTTTGCATGGAAAGAATAGAACTTTCAGTCTGATTTGATAAAAATCTAACTTTGACTCGATATTAGGTCGGGATATCTTGGAAGATATGCAGTCCTTTGGGCTACGTGAGACAGCTTGGATGGTCGTTTAGGACACCCAAACTCATTTTAAGATTTCCAATAAAAGAATTTGGGGTTACTATCAAGCAGGACAGAGAATCTCATCAGGACATCCAGTAAAAAAACAGCGGAAATTTTCAACACAGTAATAGTGTATTTATGATTCAGCTGGTGTTTTGGTTTATTTATCACCAAATACAACCTCAGTGAATAATAGTTTTGGTAAGATCCTGTGTGATCTGCTATTGAAGTCAGATGAACTGCTTTTGAAGCGCGTTTCAGCTGATAAGGATGCAGTAATTTGGAATTGTTTAGGATTCACGTAACAAGTTGCCGAATATGTCAGTTTTTTAACACTCAGGTACCTAGAATTCATAGAAGAGAACCTTTTTCCATTCACTATCATTCTTTAGCACCCAGAATGCCAGCATCGAATGTAGGTTGTGGAATTTTTGCTGAGTGAAGCGGCACCTACTAGCAAGCCACGGTCTACTCAACGATTTGTGGGTCACTTATATTCTATACTTGTTTATTTGTTATTTCCCGTTACCTAAACCTTCCAGAGACAGAATACACTAAATTGCTTTACAAACTAGTTAGACATCTTCCAGACATTGTGACAGCCTGCCTGATGCCTAATGTGATAGCTCGTCATCGCTTCGTCTTTCAGACAATCATCGTTTGCAGCAGGTCAACAACGCCATGTAACTGAAAGCTCTGTAAACACAAGCGAGCGCTTCGAGTGTGTCACGAACCTGCACACGAAATGTTTCGAATCTTCAAACAAGCCGGTGTTTGAATTGGCTCTTACCGGTTCGCCTACTCACTTATTTGCATATCTGTCGTTAGCGGACTGCAAATGAATGAGCATAGACAAGTGGCATGAGCGGAAACAAAAAGACGAACAAAGGTAAGCACATGCTGAGCGTCTAAAACTGAAAGGTTTCCGGCACTCTAAATCATGAGCTGGCTAGAAACGAAGACCTCAAAGAAACTAATACCGCTGGTTCTGAAGAACTCTACCTTGAATGTCCTTTAAATTTACAGCACTGATACCAACAAATAAGACACCAGAAAGAAGAAAATGTGCTCACATTTCTTGTCAGCGTTAGATTTTTGTCTTCATCAACAGGGCATGAGAAACCGCTTAAGTATGAACGGATTGGTCCACCAAACCTTTTACTGTTAAAGATAACTCCGCATAAGTTTGGATTCAAAGGTCAAAGACTTATACAAAGTTTCAATATGCCAGCCGTCAGGTAGATGAAGCCGAACATCTGCACAAAAGCGTCACATGGTTATGTGTAAAGTTGCCGTAACGTCTCCTTTCTTGTCAATCATTTAGGAAACTCAAAAAGAAGACGATGTTGGGTGGATTGTAAGGCAATCATGTGGCCACGCACTAGAGTACTTCAAAGCTCGCTTGTGCTTGTTTAATAGCGTATATACGCCTCACTGTATTTTAGTGGGAAATGCAAATACATCGCACTCCTCTTCATTTCTAGTTGTCCTGGAGCAGCACATTTAAACAAAGTCGGCATCAAGTGCCACATAATCGTCTTCTAAGTTTTGTGTGGATGAGATGGTCGAGAGGAGTGCTAGCCAGTCAGAAAAAGGACATTTTTTGCTCAAGAGCGGAGCTTCTTGGCTGATTTTGCATCAACCCTCTTCGCAGTGTTTAAACAAAGACTCCAATTTCATCGACCGACGGTTATATTATGTCACGAAGTACGCAAATGAGATCTACCCAAGATATGCTCTCATCCAATTACTTCAGAATACCCCCTACTATACTTCTCAAAAATAACTTCTGTTCTCGACAATTTGTGTTACCAATGTGGCCGAAGATATAACAAAGCTTCCACATGTCACCAGAATTCAGGAGGAGTTCCACCGGATTTGGGCTCACTTCTTTTTCTGCAGGGACAAAGGTCGCCCCATTCGTTCTTTGTTCCTATGAAATCACAACGCACTTCATAGGTTCCCTGAATTATCAAGGCTAAATCAAACACCTTTCATGCAACTATTTTAATCAAAAGTTCCGAATAGTGTTTGTTTAGGTTCACGGAGACAAAAAATTACCTGTAAAGTAAACATCGATTTCAGGCACTGGATACCACTAGAAAACCAGCACTTAGGTCTTCCGAACTTCCCATTCAGTCAAGAGTCGGAAGCAAAAGAAACAGATGATTCTCATGTACCGAAATCGTCCAAAAACAGGGAACGAGAAACAGATCAAAGGCATCACTCGAAGCTAACCGAATAAAATAAATCAACAACTTCACTGAGCCCAATTATTTGTTGCTTGATCACAACTTGTTAGGAGGCCAGCTTTTCTTAACCGTGCGGTTGGGCAAAATTATTACTGAAAAATGATCGTAAAGAATTTTCCACTTATCTTCGGCATTTCCAGGAGAATTGTTTTTTGTCGGCATCTGCTGTCTGGGTTTCTTTGGCCCTACGAATAATTCTAAAGCCAAATATAAACGTCACGCTGATTCTCAATTGTCAAGTTGGATTCATCAGGGAGGGATCTGACAGTAACTGCTCTGTTGTTTTGTGCGATTTTGACGATATGCCCAATGAGGCACATAATGGCCTCGTTTCGACTCAGTTTGTTCCGTTCTGAGTCCAAAAACAACACGGATCAACAGACAAGCACATCCGAACGCTCAGGGTTGGAGACGCAACGCTGTTGCGCATAAAAACACACGACACGGGCTGTAGCAGCTTTTGTAGCAAGTGGCTAACTGGTGTCGAGTAACCTAGGCCAACATGCAAATAGCTCCGAGCCGAGTTTCGGTTTGTGTAGAGAATTACGGCTGCAATGAGAGACGTGTGGTCTCAATCAAACACCATGTGCATCGACTCAGTGGTGTTTTTTCGAGTGCTGGACTTTGTCGATTCAGTTGACTGGCAACAGTTTATCTATCGTCCGGTCTCGCACACGTGTGTATGCACACACACACACACGTCAACTATTTACCCTGATGCCATTGAGCTAAAAACTTCACAATTATTCGCCAGTGCGCAAAAATTATTCGCAAGGATGACGAAATAAATGACCGTCAAACTTTAAAATCCAGAAATTGGTCCTAAAGCGGAACGACAACATCGATGACTTAGTGGTGCTGACAATGGGCAATACTTGGAGTTTGAATCAAGATAGTTTACTATTTGACCACTGCAACCAAAGTCAACATGACCTGATCAAATCCAACGAATTCGTAATCTACCAATAATAGGTTAGAGGAAAACAGAAAGGACAAACTAGCTGTCATAAAATCCAGTCTTGTGCGTGCGAGTGAGAGAGAGGAAAGAAGAAGATTTGACGCAACCACAACTAAACTTGATCAACCAGAGTTGGCTGAGGCGGTTATACGCAGTTTTCGGGCCAGCAGAATCAGATTTTGACCAGATTTATTTGTCTCCTTACTATCTCAATGTAGTTTTTTTGCCATAGCCCAAATTTGAAGAATCAATTTGTCTAGTTCGAACCCTGCAACTCACAACTATTAACCGCTTTAGTAAACCAATTAAGATTTGTCGGAGGGATTATATCTTCCTGTCCTTCTGCGGGAACTGGATTTGGTGTAGGATGTCAAAACTTGCCTTTTTCGGAAGCCTCATCATACGCAGTTTGCCTAGAATCCAGTTGAGATAAGGTTTCGATTTGGACGGCAGATCATGCAGCGATTCCTGCAACGTGAGCTGTGTACTTCAGCATGTGTTATCTGAAGAAAAATACCTGGCAATGACAAGTACAAACCAAAGGGCCTTCAATGAGTTTTCCATTCCTTCAGCAATGATTACAAAGTGTGCAGTTTCTTGAAGTTCAAACGTACCAAGGCCCTAATTCTTTTAACGAACATACTCAACGTTTATATACCCGAGGGATTAGGGAGGAAAATGGTCGTAAACTGGGCTACTGTTGTCCAGAATCTAGCACTGCAGAAACGTCCTAAAACAAGGCTTATTTCCAAAATTGTTTTGTATAGAGTCACAGACACCAACCTCAATGATTCACAACACGTTGACCACTCACTGACTGGACCGCACAATGAGTTCAACGTACCCAAACTACCTGATAACTCATTTCTGGTTGTTTCGCCAACGGTTCTAGGGATTTGTCCATAGTTGCCTAAGCAACAGAACAGTCAGGTGAGGTGGGATGTCAAATTTTTGACCATTCCACAAAGATAGTCACCATATTTGTTTTCCCAGTCGCTTGGTTACCTTGGTATGCAGAAGTAACGTGAATCCCCATTACTACAGCAACCGCGCCCAAGATTCAATGTTTATGGAAGTTTGCTTGTTTATCTTGATTGTTGAGCAACGGCTGTTTGTGTACTTGTTTACAAAAACACAAACGCATCCACCAGGATTATAAAACAGGTAACAGAATGGTAAGTTGTTTTTTCACACGGCATTGCCGAAATCGGTTG